TATTATTATTATTATTATTATTATTATTATTATTATTATTATTATTATTATTATTATTATTATTATTATTATTATTATTATTATTATTATTATTATTATTATTATTATTATTATTATTATTATTATTATTATTATTATTATTATTATTATTATTATTATTATTATTATTATTATTATTAGAGGGGTCGATTGCACTTCCCCAAGCCGCAACACCTCTTTCGATAAGATAGCCGTCTTTTCGCCTACCCCTTCTTTCCTAATAAAAACCCTATCCTTCCTCTTCTCACTTCTTTCCTCCCTTCTTCCTCCTTCTATTTCTTTCTTCTTTCTGCTTCTTGTCCGACATACGTTATCCCTTTAACGACGATTCTCCCAGCTTTTCCCCTTCTTCCAGGTACTTTTACTCCTTGCTTTGGCTCCTTTATTGTTCAATTTTTCTCCAAATACATATGGCTTCTTCCTCCTCCTCTTCTGAGGGGAGTCCTCCTCCGCCCCCCTTCGGTTGTATTACCACGCTCCGCCATGCCAAAGAAAAACAAGAAAACGGTGACTTCGAAGGTCCGGGGTAAGGTTCCCTCTCGAAAGGCCGAGGTGGTTGACGGGGCTCTCGCTGTTCCCTTGCCCAAAGGTCGCGGGATCTTGCGCGAACCCAAATTGAGAGAACCCACCCTACACATTCCCTCCACTCCTGTTAAGTCAATTTTGATTGCAGATGATATAGCCGATCTGCTTCTGCAACAGGGTCTAGATGTGTTGTATGATATAGCCCTTCCAGATTCCTTATAAGACTCCCTACATCCCCCTCTCGATTTCACTACTTGGTATCTAGACCAATTTCTCTCGGGCCTACCCCTACCGATTCACCCTTTCTTTCTCGAGGTGGCAAATAAATATAAAGTCCCCTCAACCAATTTCTTCATCACTCTATCAAGTTTATGTCCGCCTTTTTTATGATTTGTCTCGAAGCAGGCCTTAACCCCACTGGTGATTTATTTCACTCTGCCTTTGTTATCAATCACTCCCCTTCAGGTTTCTTCCACTTGACCTCTCGACCCAAACTGGGCCTCTTCAGTGGATTGTCAAATAAAGTCCATAATTGGCCTCATAGAATTTTCTTTGTCCGGCCACCTTTTCCTGAGGTTTTCCCCACCTCCTTTCTACTAGATTCCCCGACACCCGAGGTGGTGTCCGAGGGATGTAAGCCTCTTCTCGCTCTTTTATCGGCCCGCGCCCCTCCCGAGCGATGGGATGTTGAGAAATTGATCGCCACTCCTTCTCTCTTTACTCGATCGGGTCTGTGGTAGACCTGACCACCGGTTCGGTTATAACCGGAACCGGAACCGGAACCGAACCGGGGTCAACGGTTTTAGAACCGAACCGGAACCGGTTTGACCGGAACCGGAACCGGAACCGAAAAAACCGGTTCGGTTCCGATTCCTCATTTTTGGAACTGGGAACCGACGGTTAGAACCGCGGTTCTAACCGTTTAAATTGACGTATTTAAAAAAAAAAAAATTTAAATATAAACATTTAAAAAAAATATATTTTTAAAAGTTTTTTTCAAGTTTTTTAAAGTATTTTTTAAGTTATATATATACATATATAAATATATATATTTATATAACATAACAAAAAAAAAATTATTAAGAACCGAACGGTTCTACGGTTCTAACCGGGAACCGAACCGGAACCGAACCGGAACCGGTTAGGAACCGAACCGCAAGGAACCGGATTTTATCGGTTCGGTTCCGGTTCCTCCAAAATCGGAACCGGAACCGGCGGTTTGGAACCGGAACCGGAACCGAACCGAACCGTGGTCAGGTCTAGTCTGTGGGCCATGTCTTGCTCTGATCCCCGTCCACTTGGTATTTTAACTCCCCACGCGTCTGTTTTCTTGATATTGCTTTTTTCTCTATCTTTTGTTTATTATTATTATAATTATTTCTTTATTATTAATTATTCTTTTGCTCAAGTGAGATGATGCGAGAGGCCATGAAGGCAGCCCACGCCAAACAGCGTGCGCAAGCCTCTGCTCGCCAAGTTTCAGAATGAACTAGCCATGCACCTTCCACCACTCGCCAACCTTCCCCGAACAAGGCTGTAACTAGCGCTGCACCAGAAGCCCTATCCTCAGTCCCTCCAATGGCTGCTTTGTGGGAGCGGGTGATCGAGCTGGGCAGCGAGAATACTGCTCCTCAGGGTGTACCCGACCTTTCAGTCTCGGCCGAAAGAAATCCATCGGGCTTGGGTGGCTCTAAGCAGGTGTTTTTGGCGGAGAACGAGGGGACTTATCTTTCTTCGAAGCGCTCTCGCATCCGCGAGGGTGGCTTTTTATCCTCCTATCATCCTGACATTCCTGTGCAGGACTTGTCGCTTTATTTCGACCACCTGAAGTGTACCGAAGAAGCTCAGGCTCTTGAGCGTTTATCTTATGAGCAAAAGCACGCACGCCTGCTTTTTCATGCATCTAAGGTAGTTTTCACGTTTTTTTTTTATATGTTCGTTTTCTCAAGTTTCTATCCCATTGCCTATGTCAATGTGCTTCTGGCTCATGGTTTTGGTGCTGAAGATTCTTCTCGCCAAAACAAGGTTACCCGTCTGAGGCAGGAGGTTAGCGAGAAGGCGGTAGAGGTGGCCCAATTACAAGATTATGCTCGTCAGTTGAAACAAGCCAAGGAGGCCTCAGAAGAGAAGATTCAACTTGAGGCTCAGAAATATAGGGAGATGAAATCCTCCCTTGAGAGCAAAGTTAGGAGACTGGAGGCAGAAAAAAAGCAAACGATAGTCGTGGCCCGCGAAACTACGAAGAACATGGAGGTAGAGTGCATACGTGCTGTGGCACACGAGAGGGCCAAGGGGCTTTATGAGGTGCTCTACTCGCCCAGCGCGCAACATTTTTTGTTCAAGTATCGCGAGGCTCTAATCAACAATTATCCTTTGTCGATGCATTTTGCCTCCAACGCTGCATCCATAGGAGTTGGCTATTTCGAGCGCAGGATTCGACTGTACGCGGTAAAGAATGGTTACCCCGATCCTTCTGAGGAAATTGGTTATCTGCTTGATCTGCTTGGCGATGAAATCCCAGGATGGGAGGCTAATCCCTCAGAACCTATCGATCATGACTGGTGGTCCCGGGTTTTAGAGAGTATGCTCGCCTCGTTGAATCGTTATGTCTCCCATGATCCCTCTAATGTGGCACTTATGGATTCTGTCCATCCTTTTACCTTTGACTTGCCATCCTCCTCCACACCTGCTCCCGCAGCCTCAAACCCTTTAGTGCCTGCTTCTGATAATTTGACTCCTACTGCTCCCACAGACGATGCTTCCGTCCTGTAATTTTCTGTGGTTTTTCTTGACTGTTATTCGCATTCCAAACATTCGAACTTATTTATGTATTTGTACTCTTTATAACTTTAATCTCTATCTTCGTTATTTATCATTATTTACTGCTCCTTTCTCTTACTTTTCCTTAACGTTGTGTTTAGTGGAATATATTTGTCGAGTTCGCGCTCTAGTTCAACCTCTAAATTTATTGAAGTTTTCAAATTCTCGCCTTTTTTTTTATATTTCATATGACCCTCCTTTCTAATAAAGGATTTGCTCTTGAGCTTGCGCTACCCATTCTATCGTGTGATCTTTGATGATTTTTTTCACTAAGGATCTTTTCGCGAGATCGCACTTTTATTCCTTTCGAGCGTTCTTATTTCATTTTTTGTGTTCCTCGAGCTCTGTTGAGGATCCTTTTCGTGCTTGCGCTCTCATTTCATTTTTCGTGTGGTCCTCGAACTCTGTCGAGGATCTTTCTCGAACTCACGCTCTTGTTTCATTTTCCGTGTGACCCTCGAGTTCTGTCGAGGATCGTTTCTCGAGCTTGCGCTCTTTTATTTTTCGTGTGATCCTGGAGTTCTGTCGATGATCTTTTCTCGAGCTCGTGCTCTTAGTTTTGTTTTTTGTGCGATCCTCGAATTCTGTCGAGGATCTTTTCTCGAGCTCGCGCTCTTGTTTCATTTTTCGTGCGATTCTCGAATTTTGTCGAGGATCTTTTCTCGAGCTCGTGCTCTTGTTTCATTTTTCGTGCGATCCTCGAATTCTATCGAGGATCTTTCTCGAGATCGTGCCCTTGTAATAACTTTGTTTTTGTTATCTAGATCTATGCTAAAGTATGTCAAAAAAGAGGCCTTCATTTTGTATTACGTTGTTACGAGTAAAAATGTTCACCTTTCCCATGCGAGGTGAATGGCAATATCGGCCTTAATTATTTACATAACATATCTAGAAATTCTAAGCGCGAGGTGTGTCCTTTCGCGTCCTACTATATCATACAAAATACTTTTTCAGATGACAGATAATCCAAGCACGTGCCACATGCTTCCCTGACATGTCGCTCAACATATACGCTCCACCTGTAAGAACTTTTTCCACTTTGTATGGCCCTTCCCATTTTTCCATTAGCTTGCCCACTTGTTTTAATGGGTCCGCTTGTCTGAGGACCAAGTCTCCTACTTGGAACACCCTTGCCTTCACTCTTTTATCGATGCAGCCTTGACTCTTGCTTTATTTGCCTCCATCCTGAACCTGGCTTCTTCTCGTCTCTCAATTACTAGATCCAGGCTTTCTCGCAAGCGCTCGTTGTTGGACGTTTGTTGGTAATTCATAATGATGCTCGAGGGCATGCCTATCTCGACTGGACCTACTGCTTGAGATCCGTAAACCATCTAGAAAGGGCTTTCTCCCGTTTATTCCTTTGGTCTCGTTCGATATGCCCATAGAATCGTGTGTAATTCCTCTACCCAGTTGCCTTTTGTTTTTTGTAATCGCTTTTTATTCCTTCGAGTAGTATGCGGTTAATTACTTCAACTTGGCCATTTGCTTGCGGGTGTGCCATGGCTGCGAATCGTTGCTTTACTCCTAACTCCTCGCACCAATCTTGTAAATATTTTGCCACACGAACTTCATGATTTATGAATCCGTTATTTTCGCCACTGCCACTGCCACTGCCTCTACCCATTTGCGACTATTAAGAACTTTCTCTGTCTGCTAACGAGTGGTAGGGGTCCCACGATATCTATCCCCCATTGTGGGAATGGGTGAGGTGATGAGATGACCGTCATGTCCTCGCCTGGGACGTGTATTAATGGTCCATGTTTTTGGCATTTATCGCATTTCTTGACAAACTGTATCGCATCCTTCCTTATGGTCGGCCAAAAGTACCCGCTCCTCAACACTCGCACAATCAGGGCCCTCCCACCTGTATGATCACCGCTGCATCCCTCGTGGGTCTCTCGCAAAACATACTGTCCCTCTTCCGTGCTAAGAAACCGTAGGTGTGGTCTCGTATAGCCTCTTTTGTACAGTATGTCACCATCGAGACAAAAATGCCTTGCTCGCTGACTCAACCTTGCTCTTTCTCGTGAGCTTTCTTGGTTTCTACCTAGCAGGTAATTCTTTATTTCCGTGCGCCAGTCTTGGATCTCCATCATCTCCAAGATTTTGTGTTTGCCACTTATGGATAGCTCCCCCATGATTATTTGCACTTTCCGCGATTCGCAGCTCATATCCATGCTTCCTATTTTTGCGAGAAAATCCGCCCTTATGTTCTCTTCTCTTGGAATTTGGGTCAGGTCTATTTTTTCAAATTCCTTCATCAGGGCTCGCGCTTTTTCGCAATAGCCATGCATCCTGCCACTTTTAATCTCGAACTCGCCTTTTATCTGCTGGACCACTAGCTGGGAATCCGAGAAGATGCTCACTTTTCTAGCGCCTGCTAATGCTGCCAATTTCATAACATGTATTACTGCCTCATATTTTGCCTCGTTATTGGAGGCTCGAAAGGGTAATTTAATTGCGTATTTTTCTCCCTCGTCCTCGCCCTCTTTTTGCAGTACCATTCCTGCTCCACTCCCCATTGAATTGGATGCGCCATCCACGAATAGTCTCCATTCTGCCTCTTCATGGATCCTCGTGGTTTCTTGTAAGAAATCTGCCAGAGCTTGCCCTTTAATTGCCAACCGCGGCTCGTATTCCCAGAACTGTCTTCATAGAATGATTAGATCGGACTATAATCGTGTGCGAGAGGAAGTAGGGCCGTAGTTTTCTCGCAGTGGTTACCAGCGCCAGACCTATTTTCTCGACTTCTGTATATCGACCTTCCAGTCCCCGCAGAAGTCTGCTCGCATAATATATTGGGCTTTGCCTCCCCTCCTCCTCTCGGATGAGCACCGAGCTCACCTAATATTCGCCCACGGATAAATACACGTATAGCTTCTCTCCCGCATTTGGTTTGGTTAATAGTGGTAATCGAGCGAGAAGCGTCTTCAGTTGTGCAAAAGTGACCTCAGACTCCTCGATCCATATGAACTTGGCACCGTTTTCGCATAATTTTGAAGAAACGGTAACTAGTTTCCCCGGATCTTGATATAAACCTGCTCAGTGCGGTGATCCTTCCTGCCAGCGTTTGAACTTCTTTAATGTTTCTCGGAGCCCTCATATTTATAATAGCCTGTACTTTCTCGGGGTTCACCTCCACTCCTCTTTCAGTCACCATATATAACCGAGAAACTTGCATGTCCTAACTCCAAAAGCAAATTTATTGGGGTTGAGCTTCATCCCGTATTGTCGCAAAGTGTGAAAAGTTTCTTGGAGATCCTCCAAGTGTGTGTTCGCTTCCTTACTTTTTACAAGCATGTCATCCACATATATCTCCATGTTTCTCCCTAGCTTTGTTCGAAACATCCGATCCACCAATCGCTGATAAGTTGCGCCCGCATTCTTCAAGCCGAAGGGCATTACTGTGTAGCAGTAGGTGCCTGTCGATGTGATAAAGCTAACCTTAGCGTGATCCTCTTGATCTAGAGGGATATGATGGTAGCCTTGGGAAGCGTCCATCATACTTAACATATCGCATCATGTCGTTGAATCTACAAGCTGGTCGATGCGCGGCAGGGGGTAATAATCTTTCGGACATGCTTTGTTTAGGTCTCTAAAGTCGATACTCATCCCCCACTTGCCCACTCCATTTTTTACTAAGACAGCATTGGAAAACCTTATCTCACAAATTTGACCAGCACTCAGCAACTTTTGAACTTCCTCATGTATTATTCTATCTTTTTGAGCTCCAAAATGCCTCATTTTTTGTTTTACTGGCTTGGTCCTGAGCTTGACGTTCAACCTGTGAACAGCTAAACAACTGTCCATTCCAACCAAGTCACTTGGCGAGAAGGCGAACACATCCTGGTTGCACCGTAAAAAATCCACCAGTTTCTTTGCCATCGTGGCATCCATGTCTCTTCCAATTCTAGTAGTATGAGTAGCATCCCTCTCGCATAATTGCACCGTCATTAACTCTTCCATGGGTCGAACATGGCCTTCTTCCTTCTCAGGGTCGACTCCGGGGCGAGGCTCATCTCCTCCGATTGTGCCTGCTCACCTACCGTGGATGCTATCTATCCTACCAGTTCTTCTTAATGCATCATAATAACACCTTCTCGCTGTCTCCTGGTCTCCTCGCACTTCCCCGATCTGATCTCCAACGGGAAATTTTAGTGTCATGTGGTAGGTTGATACCACGGCTCGGAATAGATTCATGGAAGGCCGACCGAGTATCATATTATAAGTAGAGGGGACGTCTAAGACCAGGAAATTTATTGACCTGGTAGCCCGTACGAGCTCCATCCCTAGCGAGATGAGGAGGCAAACTTCTCCGATAGCTTGGACCGTCTCTCCCGAAAACCCCATCAAGCTGGTCTCTACATACTTCAGTTCAAAATTCATATTCATATGCTTGAAGCAGCTGTAGTAAATGACATCCGCAGAGCTCCCGCTGTCTACTAGGATTCGCGCAATGTCGAATTAGCTACTATGGTAGTGATTACTGGGGCATCTGTATGAGAGTGTTGTATCCCCTCCTCGTCCAGTCGTCCGAACATGATGGGAGGGACATGCGACACCCTTTGTACCTCAGCGAGTTGTGATTCCATTTCATAGAGTTGTTGTAGGTTCGCGCGGCTCATTATATCAGTTGCTTCTACTTCTCCAAAGAGTTCTTCCGTTTCCCTTAACTGCCTCAGATGGGCCCTTCTGGCCCTGTTCGAGTCCCCTCCCTAAGGTCCTCCATGTATCATGTTGATAAAGCCTCCTACCAGGGGGTGGTCTTTCCTCTCGCTTAGCTTTTCCCGAGCATTCTCTTGGCGATTGCTATTGGGTCGGACATTTGGGGCCATTGCATTCGTCGGAGCCTGTCCGGGTTTTACGAACTCGGGTAGGTTCTTGGCTGGAATTAGCCTTTCTATCTCGTCCCTTAGATGCTGACATTCATTTGTGGTATGCCCATAGTCATTATGGAAACGGCAGAAACTTCCAGTGGCCGGGCTCATTTCGGGAATCTCGGAATAAGTGCGAGGCCATTTCATTTTGGGGTGATGCTCGATGGCCATAAGGATCTCTGCAGGTGGTGCGACAAGCGACATATAATTCTCAAAACGAGGGCCTACTCGCTTTTCCATAGGCCCATCTCTTCTGATTGGAGAAGTGGAACTCTGGACTTTTTCCTCTCGCCTTTCTTTCTTCCTATCACCCCCTTTAGCATCACCTGTTTTACTCTGCTCCATTTCCTCCGCGTTCATGTATCGCTCTGCCTTTTTCAACAGATCATTGAACGAGATGGGGGGTTTCTTAGACAAAAAGGTAAAGAAATCTCCCACTCGCAATCCTTATGCTAGGACGTTGATCAAAACTTCCTCGGAAGTTATAGGCACCTCCAACGTAGCTATTATAAAACGCTTGATGAAACTTCGTAAATATTCTCCCTCCCTCGGCTTGACCGCGAAGAGAGTCAAGGTGCTCCTCTTCTGTTTTTTCGAGCTCGCGAAATTGTCGAGGAACACAGAAGCGAGCTGCTCAAAAATGCCTATCGAGGAGGGACGAAGTTGACTGAACCATGCTTGGGCTAGTCCTGCTAGAGTCGTGGTAAACACTCTACACTTTACTCCGTCCGAAAAACGATGCAGGTCTGACGTGTTATTAAATCTGCAAATATGCTCGTTGGGATCCGTAGTCCCCAAATATTCGTATGTGACTGGTCGAAACGAACCAGGGAGCTTGTCATTCAATATTTCTGTCGTGAACGGGCTTCTCCTTGCCTGAGCATGTTTCTGCGGTTCAGCCGCAGTGAGAACTGCATTTAGCGCCTCTCGCTCCAAAGGAGCATCTTCCTCTGACCCGTTTGTATACTTCAGACGCCTCTTCGTGGGTGGCAGCCCCTCCTGCTCCCTCCTTTCACTCGATGATCCACCTTGAGCGACCGCCGTCAGAAGGTATTGAAGTGATTATATGGTAAAGTTGTTAGAGTAGGTGACCAACAAGCCAACATGTGGCTGTGGTCTTTCGTATTTATTATTGTAATAAACGAACCTTTATTCGTATTAATGATAAAACACCTTGGCATTCTATATCTTTGTCCCTTTGTCACAAGCATAGATATAGTCCTTACAGTTATTACAAGTACTAGTAATTGATCGTTAGGATCGTGAGATATTTACTCAAGTATTATAACTGTTAAACGTGTTCCTAGTCGAAGGGTTACGCCACTAATGAGGATATCGGCCTTTCCCATTAAGACTAGCACTTAGTGTATGTGTACTGCATCTCATCAGTAAACGGTATTGTGATATCGGCATGCATAAGTGGGTGCTCGTAAGTTGACGAGTTCACTGAACTCCCTCACCCTAGAAATCTCTAAGTGGTTCCCAATAATCGAGTAGAGATATCTATGGTATAGTTGTACACCATTAGTCCTTATGACCTAGACATCACCGTGACTTCACTAGAGGACCAGCTGTATCGTGACCTGTCCCTGAGTTCCACCGAGGACCATCCCAAGGGCCAGTGTTCGTGCAGTCCGAAATCTAGTGGGAGGTCTGTGCATTGTAGTCGGGGATTCGATCGCTAGAATAGTCTTGGATGTCCTGTGTGTTCTGAAAGTTTGTAATCATTCTAAGTCTCTGGCCAGAGCTGACTAAGTGATGATTAGAGAATTCGATTCTCTAAGTCATGCACGTAAGGATTACAACACTTGGAACGATCGCACCGTCATCGAACATATAAAGAGGTCTCGATGAACCAATGCCTCTAGTTCGATCGGGACATATGAAGGGAAGGGACCGTACTGTACGTTAACTATATCTGAAGGTTCTTGCAGGCACTTCATTTGTATCTAGGGAATCATGACGCGTAGTTGCTAGACGCCAATCTTGATTCGTTGGGTGATTAAGGTGAAACGAGCTTCATCTTAATCGTAACTCTAAGGGACGAGTTTTGACCACAAAGGGTTGTGGGCCCACGGCTAGCTTACACCTGAACCATCGAGGGTCACACTGCTCGTGCACATGAGATCTTTGAATAAACGGTCAGAGATAAAATAGTTTATCTTTGCATGATTGGAAGTCAATATGATTGGATCCAACATTCGTAATTTGGAATTATGAATGAGAATAAGAAAAGGAAAAGAATAGGCGAACGTATTAGTGAACCTTCTAAATTGGGAAGTTTCCAAATTTAGAAAGTGCACTGAATTAGGGTTTCCACTTTTGGAAAGTTGGAAATCGAGAGTTGGCACTCGTAATGACGAGGATATTATAATGATTCCGAAAATGTAATTGTTGCAATTTTCCGATCATTGAATTGAGAGAGACGAGCAAGTAAAGGAACTAACGAGCTTAAGCTGTTGGGCCCGGTCCAACTTAAGCCCGTTAGGGTTTTATGCAAGGGACTATAAATACTTGATTTATAGGCCTTGCACAAATATACAAGACCTAATCAAAAACCCTAGCCGTCCACCTCTCTCTCTCGGCCACTCTCCCCACGGCCACCACCGCACCGCCGTCGCTCCTCCGTCGCCGGAATCGGCCATCCATTGGCCGATCCCTTTCGGTACTCTTTTCTTCTTTCTTTTTCTTCCGTTAATTCTAACTATTACGTGTCTAGTGCCACGTGTTTAGTAGATCGAAGTATACGAGGTGAAATCCGAGAGGAGGAAGATCGAAGAATCGAGGAGTAGCCCTAAAGCCGACGACGCACGCGACCCACGCGCCGCCCCGAAGACCGCGCGTGAGATACACGCGCCGCCGTGCCGTCTCGCCGTTGCTGCTGCTGCACCGCTGCTGCCCCGATTGTACGGATTGGTTTCCGTAGCAATCTCGACTTGCTAAACGCTCCTACCTCACGCTTCAAGAGGTAAATACACGAAACCCTAGTTTCGGTTCGTTTAGGTTTAAACTATGAATTCATGTTTGCTATCATGTGATTTTATGTGATTATGTGTAATCGTTTTAATCATTGCAAGCATGTTATTTGGTTTAAACGCGAGCATGTTAATTGATTTAAATTCGGTTAAATTATTTAGCATGTATGTTGTTTTAATTTCGCTGGAAGCGCAAAGGTACGCAATTAATTGATTTTAATTTGTCGGGCATGTACTTGTGTGCTTTAAAGTCGTTTAAATCACATTAAATTTTTGTTTTCCGCTGCGTACGCGTGCCCGAAACCCAACAGTGGTATCAGAGCTCGTTGCGTAATTAATTGCGTTGTATAATATGCTATGATTTTATGCATGTTCGATTTATTAAAGTAGTGATTGTTGTATTATGTAATTGGGAGTTTTCGTAAGTTTAAAATATTTTTGAAATATTGTTTAGAATTTTTCCAGCTTTAAAATTGTTTAAAATTGGAAAATCGGATCTGAAATTGTTTTAAAAATGTCGGATTTTTAATTGTTCGGATCGAACCGGTCGGACCGGCCGGTTCGATGGTTGTGTGCGATTTAGTTGACCGAATCCACGTGGATTCGGGTCGGTCAGACCGGTTCCCGGTCCGACTGACCCGGCCCACTGATTTGGGTCAGCTGGACCGGACAGAACCGGACCGCTTCGGTCCGAACCGGTCAGACCGGTTGGGCCGAACCGGTTCACTGAAAATAAATAAAAAAAAAAAAAAAAATTATTTCAGATTTCTAAAATTAAACTTAAAACAAATTGATTTTAATTTTTGGAAAATTATTTTCAATTAATCCCAATTAGATAATTGGATCGACAATCATCTATTTTAGTAAATAGGTGTTATATTAATTAATTGATTTAAATTGTTAAATTGATTTCAATTAATAGAACACACGTATAATATTGATTATACTTCAATTTAATTAGTAGTACCTCAACATTATTTGAATGATTAATGCTAGTTGAGGTTCTATAATTATTTTGAAAAACCCGATAATTAATTAATGTAATTAATTATATAATTAGGTCGTATGTTCCTCTTAGGACAATATGCGTTTCCATATACCT